TGTGCCTATCTCAGTTTTCTTGACTTTGGGGTGCAGGAGCAGACGTTCCGGTTGGTTAGGTGGTCAGCCGAAAGCGAAACCCCCAGTGTTTAGTTCCCAAGTATGTTTCGTACTCATTTATCGACCCACTGAAGGGATGAAAGGCTGAGTCAACCTTGCCTAGCCCGAGAATCAAACCCTGGACCTGTGGCACGGGAGCACGAAGCGCTACTACTCAATCACCGGACGTCATAAATTCTAATAACAATATTTAATTTTGTTCTAAATGTAACTATAGCCAAAGCTTCATTATATTCACATTACAATATTTTAAAACGAATTAATAAATGAACATATTATAAAAATAAGTTAGTATTTGGAACATTTAATTACAAATTTATAATTAATACAACTGCAGAAATAATTTCTGCTTCATTTGTCAAAACATGCCGTAAAAATAAGAAGAAAGAAAATAAAAGTAAATTAAATCAAAAGTCATATTTATTGCGCGTTAAGAACATTAAATACAGGCACTAATGAATAATATGTTTGAATGTATTATTACTTTATTTTCAGTATTTTTATTTGTATATCTATTCCAGAACAATTATCCTAAAGTAAATATTGTGGTGATAGAAACTGAATTAACGTTTTCAGGAAAAAGAAGTTAGATCAATAATATTTGGGACATAAATATTTTCCTTTCGCACGCATATAAGAAAATTTCATTATCTTCGTAAGAATACTAAACCTGCCGTGATTTGGAAATTAATCATAGAAAGTAAGATACGTGAGATATTTTATGTAAATAATGCATCTATAGAAAACTCAATTAGCCTAATGTTATTTTAGTAACTACCTGCATTGTTTTATTTTATTATAGTTGTAGAAATATGAAGATGGAAATTAAAATATTTCAGCAGATAAAAAGACAAAAGCACTATAAAAATGTATTAGAAAGCAGATGTTTCTGAAAGATTGAAATAAATAATTTGTAATTATTTATACATAATTTAAGATGTTTTCTGATTTGTAGAAAAATGCATAAAACCTCATTAACCGGTAAAAAAATGTTTTTTAAACTACCAGAATACGGCACAATTTACATTTTTTCTAAAAAGCCCAGTAATGATTCTGTAATGATTTTGGCAAAAGAATCAACAAAGTATGGTTTAATTATATGTGATACAATTTAGTAAATATGGGGATATTCGGTAGCCTTATCATGATACTTAGAGCTTGGCATGAAAACAATTTATTCGGTTAAATTTAATTTCAAATATTCCATTTTTTTGGTTATAAGATGTGGTTATAAGAATTATATTTTTGAAAACCTGATCGGTAAACCGTTAACATGTGATCAGAGAAAATTACTAATAAATGATTTAAATACCGTATATATTGCTTTTTAATATCCATTTTGTTCCTTAAAAAAAAAAAAGCAGGAATGTCATTTGCTTACAATGCGGTTATTCTACCGGAATTTTCCCCCATGTAACATATCACGAATGACAGTTCAATAATTAGTATTTTTAACTTTTTTTTTACCTGGTTTCTATAATTTATGTCTGGTTACGTAACTGTCAACCAAAGTAGAGAATATAAATAATTTAAAGCTTTAAAAATATTAATGCAGTTCTGTATTCTAAAAAATTAAAAGAAAAGGCACATTAAATTAATTTAAAACACTTTTAGACATAATTTATTTATTTATTATATCCTAAACTATATTATATACTAAATATTATGTCTCAATATTATAACTTAAACTATATTATATCTTAAATATCTTAAACTATTTTTTTTGCAAAATATATGCTAATCTCAACAAAGTATACAGCATAACTGCTAAAAAACAAATTAATATTCGTAAATTTAGAAATGTATGTATGAATAAATGCATGATTTCAAGATTTATTCATCATTGTTATTATAGAAAAGTAATTTATGCATGAAAAGGGATCTATAGATGCTACTTTGTAGTTAATAAAGTCATAATATAAGAACGTCTTTCTTGATACATTTTTATAAATTATTATTCTAGTAGAAAGAACGTGATTGTATTTCATTAGATTCAATAATAAGGATGAAATTTATATATTTTCCTTACATTATTATTGTGTTGTAAATGCAAAATTGTTTAAAGAAAAATGTAGTTATTAGTGTGCAAAATAGTCATAAAAATATCCATTTTCCTTTATAAATTTAAGAAATTTAGAAAATGGTGATAAGTAATTTAATATTACAAATATCAGCATTAAAATTTCAGAGACAAACTAACATTAAAGACATCCTAAACACTTAAGGATCCAAAATGAAGCTAAATAATTTACACAAACAGCAAGAAAAAAGAAGTATTTTGGATCTACTTTCGTTTCAATAATGTTTCTACAAGATTTGAAGAATTTAATGTTTACTTTAGTTACAGAGAATTTATTTACAGAAAATAAGTTATCTATGTTTACTCAAAAAGTAAATACTTTCATATTTTTTTCTTCTTTTAGAATCCTTAAGTACAAAATCAAAAAAAAAAAAAAAATTCATTGTTGACCATTTTAGTCTTTTCGCAAATATTGATAAAAGAGAAAACAAATAACCCTTGCTCACATTTTTTCATCTTAACCAAGTAGTTTTTTTTTATTTTGTTGGAGCTTCTTATTGATGAACTTCGGTTTAATGCAGAGCTTTAGAGAATAAATGTAATTCTTATTATTGAGTTATGGGTAATTGGGAAATGGTAATTAAAAACTCATAAACGTAATGTTTCTTAATTTTCTTATATCAAAATAACATAAATTTATCTATATCAATCTATCTATATACATTCAGGACAACAAAAATTTCATAAATTTGGAAACTTTTATACTTGAGTTAAGAATGAACTAAGAGAATTTCATAAATTTTATGTCTTTTATACTGTTGTATCTTTCTGAATTAAATAAATGCTCATAAATTTAAAGACTTTGTATTAGATCATCTTCTAAAATGAACAAGAATTTCTTTCATTTGGAGACTTTCACATTTTAGTATCTCGTAGAATTAAGAAGAATTTCATAAATTTGAAAATTTTCCTCCTGTGGTATCTTCTAGAATTAAGAAGAATTTCGTAAATTTGAAGCCTTGGAATATCTCCTGAAATTAAGAAGAATCTCATGTATTTGAAGATCTTCATTCTGGATTGTATACGTGTATAAATTTGAATATTCATAACTCCTCTTCTAAATTTCTGTCGAATGGAAGTGATATCGAACATTGGTGAACAGCACATACAATAGGGGATTTTTTGTAGAATCATGAAAGGTTACTTAATCATTTCTACAAAATGGTAAACTTTGTGCATCTTTTACTTAAAAGAGAAAGTGCATAAGTCTTTTAAAGGGCGAGATTACGCATTATCAGAGCAGTCAAAAGAGAGACTAACAAAAGTATAGAAGTTATTGAGAATAGGTTCACTAATCCATATCAGTTCAAAGATATGATCATAAAAACCTAAAGATATCCTATTAGTGGTCTATTTTTGCATTCCATTGCAGCAAGTACATGCATTTATTAAACATCAATTTTACANGCATGGTCTTACACAGTGTAAGTGTGGTGAGTCGTACAAGCTTGTCCGGGATATTGAATTCTCGCATAGCTTCAATGAGTCGCCTCCGGTTCCTATAGTGGATCCTATTAGTGGTCTATTTTTGCATTCCATTACAGCAAGTACATGCATTTATTAAACATCAATTTTACAAGCTGCTTCACTTACTAAAAGGAAAAAAAGCTTCGAAAATCTACAACGACAACTTTGGTGAGAGGACAAAAATAATGGGTTTCTCTTTGCCATTTTAGCTATTTTTTTAAACAAAAATTAGACGAATATAAAGTTAAATGAGCTATTAAATTGCTCGCCGCGATTTTCTCTCTCTGCTTGCTTATTATGATTATTTAATGCTAATTTTACTTTTAAAATTACAACATATTTCGGAATTTCATAAAACTGAACTATTACATCAAAATGCAAAATAATTTTTTTAAATAAATACAATTATGTCCTTTAATTGAAAACTTATTACTGATTATATTTAATTGTGTTCATTATTACTAACAATATCTCTTACTTATGAGACAACTATAGAGTCAGAGATTACGCATCATATGTTTTGTTATCTTTACCACTGATGAAGCTTTAAATTAAAGTATAACAGGATAATAATAAAAAAAGCAAATTTACATTTATTTAAGTATACATGGAAGTTATTAATAAATCATCATAATTTTAAATAAAAGCATAATTTTACTAAAACCAGCTGCTTTTATATGTAACATTTAAATAACATATGTTGTTTTTAATCATACGAAGTAAATTTCACACGAAACAGGAGTAGAAAATTCTGGAATTTTCTAATATTTAGTTAACATTTATTTTTAATCATACGAAATTAATTTAGGTTTAATCATGCGAAATTAATTTCATACGAAACAAGAGTAGAAAATTCTGGAATGTTTTTCAGAAGTAGGAAGGAGTGAAATGTTTATTTATTTATTTTTCAGGCAAAAAGCTGATTTTGCCCGCATGACTGGAGATGCCTTATTTACAAAATTAGTCAAAAATAAGTGAAGCGAAGGTGGAATGTAGTAAAGTCAACACCTATTTCACAGAAAAAATATTTAGGCAATAAAAACTTAGAATAAAAACTTAGACTCTAAAATAATTTGTATAAAGGAAAATATAATTTTGTGCTGAAGCATATATTATGTATTAACATATATTATATTTAATCAACAGAATTAATTTGCTTTTTAGACTTTTGAGTAAAAGCATGGTATAAAACTTAATACCTAATATAAAAATATTTAAGAATTCTAAATAAACTGTATTTGGAATTTTTGTCAAGATGAAATTCAATTTTCTCAATCAACATTATACCTAAATGATAAAACCACGTTCAGCCAATGTTGTTGATTTAAGATTTTTTACTTGGAGCATTTGTGTGCACAAATGCTGAAATTAAACGTTCAGGTACATTCAAGCATTTGCATATCATTTCAAAATTTATTGTTAAATATATTTTAAAAATTAAAGTTAATGCATGAGTTTAAATGCCATTGCTGCCAAACATAAATAAGCACAACGTTAACATAAATAACATAACGTTTGAATTAGATGCAACACTAGAAAGCATTTTTGTGACTTAAACATGTTTTTTACTTGATTGAAAGTTATTCTTATTGAAAACTATTTATGAAAAGGAGCACAGATATATCTCTAAGAGATTTTTTTTTATGGTGTGGATTACATAATTTCGGGGAAAATCTAGGTTTAAATGAAGTGCAGTAATAAAATTTAGTAGTAAAACTAATGCAGAAAAATGCTAATATCATAAATTCTGCCTTAGTTTTAATGGATCAAAATTTTGCAGATTCCACCTCTGCCTTTGACTCTCACTGCATATTTCCATTGTCACATTCTTTTTGTTCTCTGTCATTTCCAGACACTTTTCACTGGTTGCATGCTTGATATTTTGAGTCTGAAATTTAAAAAAGAAATAAAAAAATATTTAATTATTATAATTAATTATTATTATAGTTCATTATTATTACAATTAAAATAATTAATTATAATTAATTATTATTATAATTAATTATTTTAAAAATACTATGCACTCAAGAAAAATAAAACATTTAAACGACTTTTTAACTACTGTGAAAATATGCTTAAACTAAAAATATTAAATTGCTGGTTATTTTAAAAAGTCAATACCAGAACATATTTTAAACTTTAATTGCAACCGTTGTAAAATGAATTAATTAGATGTACAACGAATGATATAAATATATTTTTATATTTAATTAATTAATTTTTTAACGCTTTTAATGGCAATATTGTTTAGGTTTGATGCAAACTTTTGAAGGGTCCGAAGTTAAAACCTATAATAGTACAAGTGAACTTTATTAATTAATACTATTAAATATGAAAAAAGATTATCTTTCTTGAATTTTATTAATTTTTCTATAAAACGATATTATGATTCAGCTTCTGCTATAATACAAATAACATTTCATCAAAGTTATATCAACTTGTTTCACGGTATCGATAATATGGATCAACTGAAGTTTTTGAAAATTTCTTTGGCTAATTGGAAAATGCGACTCTTTACAAAATGCCGACGTCCCTGATTACGCTTTTCTTAATAATTCTCAGTAAGTGCATAATAAAGTGACTTTGGCAATTTGGGGAGAGCCTGCTGGGTTTTCCTATTTGCCTACGGCATGCATAAAATTGCAGCTTTGCGAGTATTTTTTTGTAATTTTGTTTCTTAACGTTTATTATTAAAAAAGGGGGCAATATGTTTTTGACAGATTTTTATTGCGCCGATAGTATATTTAACTATAGCATATGTGAGGATTAGAAACGTAAATATTAATTTATGAAAATGTTTACTTGTATCAATAGATCTGATATTTATTCTTATTCAATATCAAAAAATTTAGCTCACATTTTTTATAAGAAAATATGAGGAAGTAATATTTTGAGTTTTTATAAAGTGAAATTGCCATCTGAAACGATTAAGAAAATACAATTTAAAACAAATTCGGTAATATCGTTTAATAGATAAAAATATTTTAACAGTAAAATCCTTAGTTAATATTTTTATCAATCTTGACAAATGTATGCATAAAAATAATTTAATAGTCTTACATCTATATCATATAGCCAAAGTTGATTTCCTTTATCACCATGGCAGAAAAAGAAGCTTATGTCATCTCCAGCATAATCCAAGCATGCCTGATCTCTTCGTATTTCTCCAGAAGTGGTAAAAATAAAGTACTGAAAGTGGATTAATAATTCATTATTACAGAATATCGCATGTGGTCGCATCATTGTGAAAAATATATTTAAAATAAAATAAGTTCAGTTTTCGAACCGGATACGAATATGATAGAATATGATATTCTATTACAAACGTGAGAAGAAATAGAATATGATAATGTAACATGATATTTAATATTTTTTGTGATACTTAACGATTAAGTATGATGTAAAAGTTTAAAATCTTAATAAAGAGTTTTTTTTATGAAAAAGAAGATGGCTGATGTAAACAACTTATTACTAATACATTATTACTATTACATTATACTAATGCTCCAACCTAATTCAGAGAAAAGAAAATGGTTGAATTATAATTATTCTTAATAAATTCTTAAAATAATATTCTTAATGATAATATTCTTAAAAACGAAAAAATTTTAACTTTCAATGTAACGATGCTACAGGCTATCCTGAGCAGATCGAAATGAATACTTGATGGACAGTTCCAGTTAAACGGAAAAAAATCGACAATCGATAAGTCGATTTCATTAGCGAATGGTGGATGGTTAGGTACTTTATTATTTACGTCGCACTAGAGATGCACAATAGGCTATTGGCGACGGTCTGTGAAACATCCCTGAGGATGATTCAAAGACATGCAGTTTGGTTAATGCCAGTGAAATTTTACTTAGCAGAGCACGGTTTCGTATTGACGTACGAAGAGTATACAGATATTTTTTATATAAAAATTATTTTTAATGCAGCATTTTTCATAATAGTCTATTGCTAATGTAATTTGTAAAGAAAGGATGTGCTCACATTGAAGATTGGAACTTTTACAATAGGTATTTCACGAAAATGTTTTCCAAACATGCTTAACTGGTATTGCAATTGAGACTTTTAATAATTTAAAAGAAAATTTAATGAAAATTCTAACCACACAATAGGACTAAAAGTCAATACATTACAATATCTTTCAAGCCAATACAATATTGTTTAGGAAAAAACAATTCATTACCTGATTTTCACCCTCTGAGTGACATTCAGACATCTGTAAATGCTTGCCAAGATGTTCAACCTTGGATGGACCATCCAAGCAACTATCACCATCAAGACCCAAGTTTCTAATCTAGAAGAATTTTGACTACTAATAAGCTAATTAGTTCTAAACAAATTTATATATTAAATTATTTAATTTCCCAGTGTGTTATTCGACTTTTGAACATTTGAATTGCAATGACATTTGGGGGTAGAGGGTCGACTTATATGTTTGCACATGACACATTTAGACATTGAGGCTTTTACCAGCAAATTTTGGCGCTCAGCATAAAAATTAACCTAATTTATAAGTTAAACTTAAAGATAAGAAAAGCAACAAAATTGGTACTCACTTATGTTAGTTTTTAGTTTGAATTCTTCAAAACAATAGAAAATAAAAAACTTAGCAGGGTATAAGAAAATTGAACATCATTAAGTTGCGATAAAGAAAACATGTTTCCAATTCAAAGAGTTATGCCCATAATAACTTATATGTAATATAAAATATAGCTAATAAAAACAATTCTTTTCTTTACTTTATATATGAGTAAAACAAAGTTTTATATTTAGTAAGGAAATTTGTTTTTTAACAAACGTAAATTAAGCGGTCGAATAATGAACCAAATACATGCAGACCCACAATTATGAATTTAAAAATACGGAATCGACTTCACTTCGGATAGGGCTATACATCAGAAACTACAGTATATATTTTTAATAAAGTAACCTTTCACTGGTTAGAAATATTTTTTTTTATTTCTTTATAATGAAAAAAGTCGAATTAAAAATTTAGTTCTTTAACCATTTCCAATGCAATGTAGAGTGTCATAGTTTTGCTTACACGAAAACTCATGACATAATATAATAATTTAAAAGAATAAATTAAAAATTAAACCAACAAAATCATAATTTCAGTTCACGCAGGTGAAATATTTAAAAAAAGAAATGCTTTGAAATCATAACTTTAAATTAACATATCATTTTAATCAGGTAGAATGTTTTTTACTTAAATAATTACTTTCAGGTTTTAGCTCAAAGGAAGAACCTTTACCAATACTAAATTAAGATTACTTAACTTAAGATTAAAAAACTTGTTACCTCGCCTTCAGCGACTGTATTGTTTGGTATATATTGTTCAGGATAAATATTTTTCAGATACCAATCGAAAGATTTGCAATTTAACTTCTTTCTTAACTCTTTGCGAGATGTAACATCTCCATATCTTTCCTGAAATAAAAGTTTTCTTTTTAATTATAGAAAAAAAGACATACGTTTTTTCGTAAATGCCTAGTTTAATATATACAATCGTATCAAGTTTTAAATATAAAACAATAACAAAATATTTCTGTTGATCTTGAATTTTATGTGTTACTATTAACTATATGTTTTTTTTCTATTTTTTTTTCTAACTGATATACTTAGATTATATATTTAAAAAGTTTGAAGATGTTACGAAAAGATACATCATAAATTATTTTTGAAGCTGTAATGATGCTTTAGTTTTGCCCTGTTCAAAAATAAAGTAATAGACGCATATTAATTTAACCTAACCCAATCGTTTCTTATGTTGTTGTTGCCGTAGGCCATTAAGGCAAGGGGGTGCGATTCTTTGTTTCCCAGTGGTGAAATCTGTGGACAAGAATTCGACTTTTGTCACACCCGTTTATAGTGTGAACCCATTCATACATCCATTCATTTATTCACAGATCCTAATTTTGACCTGAAGCAGAAAACGATTAAATTTCCAATTCAGTATCCCCAGTAGTATAATTTGTTATGGGAACATTGAGAACTTTGTGACCTGACAGATTTTAACGTGCACCAGTCAACATTTACTACACGGAGAATCTTCGGCTGGCTGGATTCGAACTCCCGCTATCGAGAACGTGAAAAAAATTGAATTGTTTTTTGTAAAAATTGAATATGATACTTTATTTTCCTTCGTAAATTTTTAATAGTTAATCACTAAATTTAGGGCTGAAACATATATGTAGGATAATATCCTAATAACTATAAGCACAGCTATAATACAATATCTCTGAAATAAAAATGCTTCATAATATTTTCACATGAAGCCTCACCATTGTCTTAAAAGTACTTAATTTTTATCATAAAGTCAACCCAAATCTTTGAATCACAAATGGTATAGATATAAAATACAGAAAAATATTTTGGTACTTTGACTGACAAGTACCACATTAATAAATACACAAGTGGGCGACCTTTGTGCTAAAATACAAGCAAAGGTAAACAACGTTAAGGAGCACAAAAATATTATTAAAAGCAGACAGCTGCTTCGGATGCTCAAAGGGCAACCTTCATCTGTGCAACAGAAGGAAATTAGAGAAAATAGGGTAAATATATAGAGCAAGGTGACGTCACAAGGGGGTTAGAGCAACGACCAATAGAAGGGAAGGGTGAAAGGATGACGACGAATGGGAAGCAAGGAACAAAAAGATGGGGGGGGGGGTTATAACCCCTTTCATCCTTTCACCCTTCCCTTCTATTGGCCGTTGCTCTAACCTCCTTGGGACGTCACCTTTCTCTATATATTTACCCTATTTTCTCTCATTTCCTTCTGTTGCACTGATGAAGGTTGCCCTTTGATCATCCGAAACAGCTGTCTGCTTTTAATAATATTTTTGAGCTCCTTAACGTTGTTTACCTTTGCAAGTACCACATAGTTCATGCCAAAAATCTGAAGAGCCTTCAGACCTTTTTGGCCAAAATGTAATATTGGTAATTGGTGTAATATTGGCAATTATGTAATATTGTATGACAGCTTTATTCATAATCAAATGAAATATTCACAACCTTTCAACTTGTATTCTTACGCAGTCAGTTAATGAGGAGGAGTGCATGATGGCAACTTTTCAAAAAGGAGCTCGCTCTTTTGAGGCTCGGTGTGATCGCACTTTGAAGAGTACCTTTGAACCTCTGGAAAATTATCAGTCCGCAATGTCCTTATTTATTCATTAACGAATTAATCTTTTTAAACTATCTTAATTTCATTTTATTTATTAAAATGAGTTCTACAGAAATTAGTTACCGAATTTTAAGATTTGTTTTGTAAGCATGAGCTTTGAAAAATTGAAAGTATTGAAACATTTTAAAAATATATAGAAGTTCTATAGAGCATGTTTCAATGAATATGACGAAACAAAATATATTCTGAAATATGTATTAGTTACTGACTAAATAAATAAAAAAGTCCCGAATGTGTAACTCTCCATAGGATAAAGTAAAAACTGTTTTTTGAGTTCAAGTGGGGGGGGGGGATAATTTAACTGAAAAACATTAGTAACTACTTTGAAGTCAAGCAATTTTGAGTTTCTGTCTTTATCGTGCATCATAAGCCCTCTTATCTTAGTTCTAAGACGAACGCATAATTTTTAATAACATATTGATTATACTTCAATGTTTTCTTATTTTATTAATTTAGAGCACAGTTAAATCTGTTACTTATTTTTGTTATATCTTTACATTGAATGAAATATTTGCTTTTGTTGTTAGGAAAGATTTGGTAACCGAATTGAGCGTTTATTAAGATCACAAATGTTTTTACTCTTGCAATTTTTTCGTGCAAAAGTGTGAGAATTACTGTTTTTTTTTCATGATTAAGATGATTCCGTATTTGCAGTTTAATAATTAGCTATATATGCAGGTAAATTTAAAATATTTTTTCAAATTTCTTTATTTTCAAATATATGTAAAAAAAAGTAAATTAGTTTGGGATACGAAATCAAAGAAATAGTTATCACTTACAGTAAATCTCCTGTTCACAAATTTGAAATCGCAACTTAGAACTAAAAAAAGTTTCCTTTGAAAGGTAAAGTTATTAATTTAGGAAACTATAAATCGCATAATTTTTAAATTACAAGAAAAAATGTTTTACCTGTTTAATCAATGTTTCCTGAAAAACAAAACAAAGTAATGTTTAAATATGTCTTCAATTTCCTAGACATTAGAATTGGCTGTGGATTTCTTACTTTTATAACTGATAAAAAGTATTAAATAATCATGTTTTTAAACGTACGGTATCAACTCCTATTCTTCTATAGAAATAATGCTTATATTCATCCAGCCAAACTTCTGCTAAGCGAATGGTATTTCTTTCAAATACATTTTCACCAGGTTTCCATTCATAAGGACTTCTTGCTCGAAACACGTGACCAACACGAGAGCAAGGCAGAATTTCCAGAATTCCGCCGCACATCCAAGTCTGAAAATAATTAATAATTTAAAAACTAAATGTCTTATTTGATGTCAAAGACATAAAAATAGCTAACTAGTAACATCGATGACAATGAAAAACAAAAAATGCAAGTACAAAAGTGGGTCGATATTAGATGAGTTGTATCATCTCCATCATTGTATGGAATTCCTTAAATGAACCGGTAAAAGAATGTAATAACGAATGTTTTATCCAGTGCCTGGACATTCTATAAAAAGGTTAACAAACTGAAAATTATGAAACGATTAATAATTCTTACATTGTATTGGCATTCTCTAGAGTACCAAATAAAAAGTCTATTTACATTATATTCAATGAATTTATAACAATTCTCATAAGTCACATTTTGACTAAAAATACCAGCCATTCTATAGAATGTCTTGTGTTTATAGAATTCGTAAAATAGTATTATATAACATTCTATAACATATAGACCCCTTTAAATTTAGAATCACTAAATACATGTATTCTGGCGATAACATACAGATTTGTTCATGTTATATTTATTTATTAGTAATTATATTTAATAAGTGATTTTAATATAATACTTATAAGTACTTATATTTCAAAAGTGCTAACGAATGATTCTAAATGCAAATGGATCTATTTTTTCTCAAACATTTCTTTTAAAATTATTTTTATACTTCGAAGTATGAAAATTTAACTCCATATTTTTTAACTTGTAATTATTAGTTTCATTTTTAAGCTTCATTGCAAAAGATACGAATGAATTCGCAATGACAAATTTTTGATGTGAGGATTAGGCTTCATGAAAAGAATGCGTGTGCTATGTTTAAAAATATGTTAATATAATGAATACTCTCAAAGAAATGAGAGGTGACATTTTTATTACATAATTTTACATTTTAATTATGATTTTTAATTTCATTATAACTTTTAATATTTAAATCGGATTTTTTCCGTTTTTTACTTCTAAATAAATTGAATTGAGAAAAGAATCTATTCGAATTTTGTAAATAGAATGAAATATTTTTAAAAGGTAAAACCACTTTTAAAAGCTATTGAAATTTGCAAAAACTAAATAAAATTAAATTTCTTAACATATTTCATAAAGTATGCTTAATTAATTTTTCTTTATGAACTTTTATTGGTAAACTTGATAAATATGTAAAACATTATTTTCTTAATAAATTTGGAAAACAAATTGTTAAATCAGATAGCAGTAAAATATCTCATTAATATGATATGATAATTACTTGAATAAGGGTGCAAATTTAATTTAAAAACTTGAAAAAAACAGTTTTATGCAGAATGTACTTCATGTCAGTTCAAATTAAATAATTATATCACAGTAAAAATATTAAACAAAATACTATGAAAATGATAAATAATGTTTTTTTCCTTCTTCTTTAAAAATTTATTTTAAAATTTAATCGATTAGTTTGCATTCTTAAGTGTGGTATTTTTTCTTTAAATATTCTTTAGTCCTTATTTCTCTGAAGACAAGCAACATAGTCGAAAATATAAATTTTTTTTCCTTCCAGAACTTTTATCTGTCCTTTATTTATTTTTCTTGCTTACCTTTCTTGGGAATTTCTCTTCGGCAGAAATAGTTATAATGCCATTGATGATTTATTTATTTCATAAAACCATTCAGTAACTATACATTTCTATTTCTGATACAAGCTAACCAAATTTTAGATATTTATGAAAAAAATGCATCTTAAGAATATTAAACTTACCTTAAAAGATAGTTCTAAATTTTCAGCACCCCAAATTTCAAATCCTTCATCGTATTTTCCAAGCTTGTAGAAAAACTTTTTGCTGATAGAAAAGATTCCACCGGGCATTGTTGGTGACCTAAATATTCATTAAAAAAATAACCAACCTTATTTATTCGCTTAATTATACAATAATTTTTTTATAGTTTTATAAAGGACATATAATTCTTTTTAACTGTTGGCTAACATGCTGAAACACAAAATATTAGATATACAGTAACTTTTACAGTAATAATTATACTAAAATAGTTGAATCACTTTAATTAAGTAAATAATACTTTAAAAATTACGGCATAACATTATACGGTTAAAATGCCCCTTTTGTAATGTACAAAACCGTAAGTGCTTGCGTTAGACACACTGTCATTTAGTTGACATTAGTATATTGGTTATCCCATAAAGAATAGCAAGCTAAAATTTTTATAGGTAATAGAATTTATTTCATGGTGCTGAAAAATATTGAAATTTTTCTTGCATTTAGTATTTGATTTTAAGATTATGTACTTAATTTATTAATGAAAAGTCTAAAGGGCATATTTACTAAAGTAATTTACAAAATTTACTTTTGATCCTTCAGAAATATTAGACAAATATATAGCAAAGTTATGGCGAAAGAAGTGCTAAAGTGATGAATTTTAAATTTTCCAATTAACCCAACAATCATATCTATAGTTTTATTTAATTTTTACTTTCCTTTATCATTAATTCATATGAATCAAGCACAAGTCAAACAAATGCAGAATTGTGAATAAACATCACGAGTACCTTTTGATTTAATTAATAATAAGATTTATTTGGGTGAAATTTCATTGTGAATGTTTACCGACTTATTTATTTTTTAAAGTTTATTTAAAAACACTAGAATGCATGTTTTTTTTGTTTTATGAATATTCTTTTAAAATTCCACTTGAATAAGTGCACATTCACTCTGAGCTATGCTCGCTTTCTCTTTGATGGCCAAAGCAAAAAAAGTTAAAGAACTTCTGTCCTAAAGGTTCATGTGTTCGGCACTGATTAATGTACTTAAAATATAGTTGAACTCACCTAACTGGTTCCCAGTGATTATTTCTTCTTAGCATTTCCTCTTCAGGTACAGTTCTCCAATCAAAATCTAAATCCCAGTTGAAGCCACCGACACCGTATTCTTCTGATTCACGGAATTCGTACCTAAATGTTTCGTCATTAATGGTATCAATCACTGGACAGACAACAGTCATCCAATCGTCGTAAATTCGTTGTAGGAGTGGCTCTAACCATCCTGAAACATATCCTTATGTTTACTTATGTTTCAAAACGTTTTTATGTGTTTATGTTATGTTTATGTTTATGTTTACTTAAACGTGTTCAAATGTGTTTATGTTATGTTTATGTTTATGTTTACTTATGTTTATGTTACTTTCAGATTTCTTTAATTAAAAGCGTTTAAAAGTGCCGTTTTTATAAGTTTTAAGAATATTGCCACCAAATGTAAATGTTTATCTTAGAGTTAGTTAGTTTAAAACTGATGATTGCTATTAAAATGACAAACCAGAGATACTAACTTGGTTCACAGTGTGATCACATTTTTGAATCATAGAAAAATTAATGCTTTAATATATGATTCTTGGTATAAAAATATAATTGAAAGTTATTTTCCCCAACTATTGAGTACAAATCATTTAAAAGTTCAGATAAAACGTTTATTCAAAGCAAATTAGTTCAAATTAGTTGGCGGATAACTTTTGATAGTGATATAAAATAAACTAATTTTCTGATAGTTTTAGAAAATAATAGGGAAATTTCGCACTTCCTCGTTCGCTTCTGTGAGCTCCCGTACGTAAGATTTGAAGCAACTGCGCATGCTCGCGTTAATTGTAGATTATACGTATCTTTACGTTTTGTTGGCGTAATTAACGCTAGAAGACAAGGCAACAAGCATCTTGTTTATAGCTCTAAAATGTTGAAATATTATTTTCTGTTTAGGCTGACTTTCAAACAAAAAACATGGGCATGGAATGCTAATTTGAAGAAATGTATAGATGAAATTTAGAACTAAATCTTGCAATAATACTACTAACTTGATTGCGTATTTTAAAGCCAACTACTGTAAGTTCTGGTAATTTGTGGACCTCATGCACGATCTAAAATTTTTCATTTTCTGCCGCAAATCTGAATAATAAGCTTCTTTATTTATCACTGAATTCATTAAAAACTACTAAATTCTTCTGTTCTCAGAACCACAGTCTTGCGTAGATCAAAGTATCTTGAATCGTATGCGACAGCTTTGTTGATATTGTCTATGTCCATTGTAAATGTTTGCTTTGATCACTGAATTCATTAAAATCTACCAAATTCTTCGGTTCCCAGAACCACAGTTTTGCGTAGATCAGAGTATCTTGAGTCGTATGCGACAGCTTTGTTGAGATTGTCTACGTCCATAGTAAATGTTTGCTTTGATTTTGAGGTTTCTTATTTTCCCTTCAGTTAGTTTGATATTTTTCCACGGGCGCATGCGCATTACATCAGAACTGACTCGAAATCACCCTAATATCTTTTTCATAAAGCAAGACAGTTCACACTCCTAATAGACGAATAATTATTTTTAAATTACTAAATAAATAGGAATTAATATACTACCTGGAGCACACTCACAATGAGAATCTAGAAATGTAAGTATTGGAGCTTTAGCGACTGATACTCCCATTAGGCGAGAACGAATCAAACCTTCTCTTTTCTTGGCTCTCAAAATTTTCACTTTTTTCAAACTTGAAACATAATTTTCCAACTGTTGATCTAAATGAGCTGAAATAAAATTTACATCATTTTAGAAAGGTATATTACATCACATTACATATTGAAAAAAGGGTTAAAACTACCACAGTATGGTAAAATTTCTCATGTTTCAAAATATATGGGAACATCATAAGGCTCGGTAATTTTTACCGACGCTCTTTAGCAATGATTTTGGTAAACCTAACAATAAGCATAATTTTAATGTATTTGACGTAATAATTTAAACATTTCAAAATTATTAAATTTGGTAAAATGTGGTAAATTTCGTAAAATTTGAATTAATTTATTAATATATTAGAGTATAAAAATAAAAAGAAACATTTTTCGGTAAAATTTTTTTCCTCAGTTTTGAGTTTCTTACTAAATTTTGTATTTTTTACTACTAATTTTGAAAACCAGAATTTTCATTAATGTTTACCATATAAACGGAAATATCACCAAATAAATTCATTAAATACTGTATACTCAGGTTTTTAATACCTGAAATATAGTATTTTCAACAGAAATATTATTACCATACTGTCCGTACCATACTTTTACCATACTTTTTCCTCCGTGCGATTATGCAGTTCTATAAGACCAGTGTACAAAATTGATTACATAAACTTGACTTACCTTTAATTAGTTTAAAGTGATTATAAATTCTTAGATATTTCTAATAAGATGCAAAATAACCGTATATAGTTATAAGTACCTTATATAATAAATATAGCCTTATTAATTATTCGAGTATATTTTCGAAACTATGCGATAAATAAGCGGCAATATTTTAAAATTATGTGGACATGCTGCGAATGCCCTAAGTAATCAAGAATAATTTTCTAAAAGGTTTTTTAATATTGAAAAAAAAGTTAAAAATGCAAGATGAAAAAAAAACTGCTATCATTTTAGAAGCAAATTTAGATTCAAATTTAGTTTCTCTGAGTTGTTATGACTTCTTAAAGTAGGTTTAATGGAATTTATTTTAAGACAAATTATCTTATTAGAGATTATTTTAAATCAAACTTTTGATTTTTTTAGAGACGCAGAACAGAACGTATGATAATGTCCGCAAAAATGGAATATATCTGTTAAATCTGTATTAGTCTCGAAGTACTGTTTTGAGATATGAAATTTTATAACTTAAATTAAAAAAATTAAGTAAACTTCTTGAATAAACTAATTTATTTCTTTTTAAAATTACTTCATAGAAATATCACTATGGAAATTTCCATCCAAATATTAAAGACTACTCGTATTCACAGCAGGGACAATTAATGAAATATAACTCAACGAAGTTTGTAAATAATACGTATTTAATGCTTAGTTCTATGTAATTTATAGATCATGTATGATTTACATAAACATTTTTACATATGCTCGAGATTTTCAGAACATTCAATTCTCAATCCTTTTAGTTAAGTTGGAGAGAAGATTTAGGCTTAAGGGACCTTAACAATATACACACTAGGGTCATAAACGAGGATGAAATATAAAAGGCATCGATATATAATGAATACTCTTGAGGAAGGTGATACTAAATACATCAAAACCAGTTTAATTGTTGAGTAAAACAAATTAAATTCAGTCGATGCGCAAGATTCCCTCATCAGTCCCTCAAACTTGTTTTGATGTTACTCATCCCACTTTTCTCACTTGTAGTTTAGCTGAATTTTTCAGAGCCTTTGTTTCTTCCTTGTTCAGAAATTATTTAGAAACCCTAAAAGTGAATTTTTTTTAAATCGATTTTTTTTTAGTACCCAAATTTTTTTTCTTAAAGGTATTTTTTTACTTGTATTTTTAGAATCATAATCAAAAATGAAAAACAAAAACATACACATTAGTGGCAGCAAGTTAATATTTAACTGAAGAGGAAATAAAAAGAAAACGCTTTCTGCTTCGGAAACTGATATATTGCAGTAAAGGAAGTCAAATGAAATCGACATCAAGACCGATAAATCGGAGATTTAAATAATTTTTATCGGATATACTCTAATAATAGTCCGTTAACCACTCTCTGCAATAAGATTTGTAAGATTTCGATAATGTTTCTGTTCTTTCCTCTCTTAAATATTAATTAACACCCTTACATGCATACTTTTGTGCTTTCAGTTTTTATAAGGATTCTAAAAATATATATAAAGGGTGATCTTTACGAAACACCCAATATATTTTAGCAGGAATCTCAAAAATATTTAAACATTCTTACGGAGATTAGAGAAATCATCAATAAGTATAATTTCTTGAATGAGGTGCGACGGAGAACGATCAAGAACACTATGAATAGTTCTCAGAAGTACACTCCAAGCTTCGTTATGAAAGCAAATAATGACACTCGTCTTTGGAAGATTTGGACTGTATTTCTCATTTCTACACCTGCAAGAAACTGAAGCTGTAAAAAATAAAGCATCTTCATTCCTTAGTAACATCAATTAATTAAAACTTAATTTTATTGATATTTATAAATTTAAGATATGTATATATTTTTATTTATGTAGTTACATTTTTTTTAATACTTAAGTTCAAAACTTACTTCTTAAACACATGAAACTTGCTGTTTCTGGCATTATTGTATTATTGTAAATAACAAAGAAAGGAATAATAAAAAATGCTTAAAAACATAGCCTTCCAACATGCAGTCCCATTAAACCAACGTAAATGTTCACAAGCATTTCTTAAATACACTCTTACAAAACATTAATTTTAATAAATGTAAATAGTAATGCATACTGTAATTGGAAAACGGAAATTTTAAGAGAAGAAAAAATCTGAACATTATTTTAAGTAAAGGATAAATGAGGCCTAATTACTGAAACAATATATAATGACCAACTATATGTTAAATAAATTTCAAAATAAAATAATTTAAACTGTTATTTTTACTGAAGACTTATGTTATTAAAGTATAAAAATAAAAAAGGAGCAATATTTTTATATAAAATTGGATATAGCAGAGAGGAAGTTAGTTCTAAAGTAGTTTCATGGCAAAATTGCAATCAGTGTAAATGTATTTAAAGTGCACAAGAGATACAAATTTTGAGCATTGTCAAACATGTTTTTAAAAGAGACGAAAACTAAGTTAAACGGAGGCAGAGGTAAAAAAAATTTTTTCAGCGTTATTGAGCCTAAAGATACAAAAAGAACAGAATCCATATCTTATCTATCTCTCACTGATGTACTATAAAAAAACACCCCTTTTTTGAAATTTCTCCGTATTTTTAACGGTTTAAAACAGTTTTATTGACAAAACGGTTTGTCTCCGTTTTTCATCCAGTCACCGAAACGGATTCAAACCACTAAATAAAATTCTAACTTTTGCCATGCAGCTTTGAGTTCCGTAATATACCTTTACTTTGTTTCCTTTGTTTGTTTGTTGTAATTATTATCAATACTTGTTCTTACTTTTTATCAATTACTTTATGTTTTTAAATAACGTATAAATAAAACTGCGGTTTTATTTTATTGTCAAATTGATACAATATTGGAGTGAAATTCTCAGAATTACAATTTCTTCTTAATAAAATTATTGGGCCGCAGTGTCTCAAGAGACATAACGCACGCTACCCAATAAAGTGACCCAGGTTCGAATCCCAGTGATGACTGGTAGATTTCTGCCGGCATGAAATATTTACACAGTAAAATATTCACTTAGTTTGCGAGTAGAGAAACTTTTACAAAGAAAACGACTTCCCTTATGGCAGAAGACAATAGATTTATTTTTATTGCAAAAACTTGCTTTGTTATGGTAAAATAAAACAGCCTGATTACGGAATTTCTTCGTAATTTTAGGGGGGGGGAAACTTGTTCTTGCATGACAAACCATTAAGGCTACGAATTTAGTTTATAACTTCTATATGGTTCACAGCTGCGTCTATAAAAACTATAATTTTATTATTTTTTTAATTTTACGTACTTTTACAGTATGCGTGCTTACTAGAAAATTAAACAAAACATTAAAAAAAGATCCATTGATAAAAAATTTATAAATATATTTAGGTATACCCTCTAGGTCTAACATCGGGTAATCGACGATGCAAAGAAATTATGTTACTAACATGTTCGTTAAAAGCATGTTTTTCCCATCCATCAGCCTCAAGTTCTTTTTCTTTTGAACTGAGATTGACCAATGTAACTGGTTCTCCATACTCTCCAGGATCGCCGAAGCCTGGCAACTCCAGAGAACTTTGATTCATTTCTTTGTAATGAGGTACGTCTAAGAAAATCGACTTATAATTGTCCCGTGACTGAGCATCATCTCTATCGATAAAATCATAATCGAAGTTTATTAGGCTTTCGTCAATTTCTTGGTGGAAAAGTTTGATGAATCGAACGAAAGACGCGATGATCAACCATATGGAAGTGATAAAAAGAACGATTTTGAGGACAAAATACTTCTTTCTTCGATGGCAGATGGTGAGCCAAATCCTGTTTGGATAACTTGATGATCTTGTAATTTTCATGATGCCTTTATCACTATAAGTGGGCACCTAAAAATATAAACAGACTCGAAATTAATTACAGATCAATGCAAATTAAAGCGCTTAAGCGTAAATCTAAAAATTTTCTAAATTCGCCTATGATATTTTTTTCTAAATATACATTTCATGACTACACAAATTCATTTATTTAACTAGAAAGATTTAAGAAATAGTTGTAGTTATTATTATTTTTTTGGTTTAATTTTACATACATACATTTTACATACATACATGTATTTGAGATAAAAAGAATTATAGAATTAATTTAAATCCTACTAGCATGAATTTCCCGAAATGCTAGTATTTATCCAGAGCATGATCAGAAGCATCAGCACTATTTTTTTTTTCAAAAATATACTAAAGTGTAAAGAGGAAAATGTATTATTATCGTGCAATCAAACTATTGAATTGATAATAAAGAGACTAAAATTTAAATGTAGTTGGTTTTTGCATTTCATTTTTATTAAATATGTGAGTTATATTGATCACTTTGTTAGGTATGTCTGATTAATTTTGATAATAAATTTTCCTTTCATTCTATTACGTTTTAAAGAATAAAAACTTAAAACATCACTGAGCTGTCACATGACAAGTTCATTCTATTTACCAATGTTATAGTTAAAATGTAATTCATTTAGTTATAAATTTATATCCCATAGTAGCTTGAATTATATTCATCGCAACTATTCAACATACCAAGCTGAAATATAGCTTTTGTAATTCATTTTTATTAAATTTTATTATATAAGTTGTGTAGATCATTTAGTCAGACATGTCTGATTAATTTCGTTCATAAATTTTTACTTCATTCCATTACTTTTTAAACAATGAAAATTTAAAACGTCACTGAGAACTGTCACATGACAAGTTCACTTAATATACCAATGTTATAGTTAAAATGTAATTCACTTAGTTATAAATTTATGTCCCATAGTAGCTTGAATTGTATTTATCGCAACTATTCAACATACCAAGTTGAAATATAGCTTTTGTATTTCATTTTTATTCAATGTTATTATATAAGTTGCGTATATCACTTAGTCAGACATGTCTGATTAATTGGGTTTATAAATTTTACCTTCATTCCATTTCTTTTTAAACAATGAAAATTTAAAACGTCAATGAGAACTGTCACATGACAAGTTCACTATATTAACTAATGTTATAAATAAAATGTAATTCATTTAGTTATAAATTTATGTTCATAATAGCATACCAAACTGAAATATAGATAAAATATTCCAGCGAAAACGAAAAAATCTTGAAGCAGCTCATACAGATGCTTTTCAGATAGAAACTAAATAACTAAAATATAAGTTGACAAAAAAATTGCATTTTAAATTCTTACCTCAATTGATTAATTCAGGCATGGTTACAAATTAATTTTATGGTCACGTCATAAAATATTTCACACAATAAAAGCTACAGTATCTTTCCAAGGTAATCTATGATAAATCTAGAATTTCCTGATTCTAATCATTGAAACTTTTTTATTGAATACTCAGAGCAATGAAATTCGCAATAAATTGGGAATCATTATTTGAACAGCATTCTAAGAAGAAAATGATTGGTTTTGGATGTAAGGATAACTTTGCTTTATCAAAAACGATATGGCACAAATATATCACATGATTTTTAAATAAATATTGTTCATTTTATTTATGTGGAGTACTTAATGTAAAGAAACTTAAAAAATATGAAGTAATATATAATATAAAAAGGTTCGACTGTAGGAGTAACAATTTTAATTTTTTACTCTGCCGGTATTATATTACAACTGCAGTAAAAAGCTCTATGTAACAAGTACGGCATATTTCGAGAATTCCATTAGTTTGGTTTCCAGATCAACAAAATGCTGATATTAACGTTACAAAAATTATGTTATGTAAATTAGTATTCCACTAACGCTGCAATTTCTTTTAGAAAAATATTTTTCCTGATGTTTAAATGAATAATTTTTAACGAAAATAAGCATACTAGAAGACAATTCTATTTATTTTGTAGTATCAAAACAGAAAAGTAAAAAACGAAAGTAACTTCGTATTTTTTTTCCTTCTTGGAATCTTTACGTTAATAAAGAAAATGTGTGAGCTACCACTGTCGAACTTATCTATCTCCTTACAAAAACGGAATTCTTCTGGTATTATTAGGAGTTTTCCGGCTTAACACTTAGTTGGCCATATATCTGCCATGCCGCATATTTTCATTTTTAACAACTCTTCTAATAAAATAACGTTCAGTATTATAAATGACGTAAAAAGCTTATAAACAGAGCCAAAAAACAGTGAGAGCCCACCAATCCTGATCTCTGGGAATCATTCCATATTTTAAAAAATAATAATTTGTTTAATGAACTTTCTACTATTGCTCGTCTCTGAATGTTTGGAAATATATTCGGATTCAATTTTTTTCTTCTAAAGCCCTGAGGTTTCAGCTCAATCACACCGCACCAGTTTTTTTTATTTATCTCCTTACTTTTACAGTCATGTTCAAGCCTTTCCCTCTTTCTCTCAGGTTGAATTATTTTATACGTGCTTGTCGTGTTATTTGTCTATTGTACTATTGTGTTTAAACATCAAGGAACAATCTATGGTAGACATTTAGTAAGGTTCTTTTCTTTTTGTTTCCCCTTCTCTTTTTCCCCATTACTTTATTTACCTTTTATTGTGCTTTATTCACGCTATTTTACTTTATTCACTCATCGCACATATTTTAATCTACCCTCTTTGAAAAAGCTAATAAGTCCTTTTTATAGCTATTTTAACATGTACTATTTTACAACTAATTTACCACATGTACGACGAGTTCCATAAAGACTGTTCCCGCGATGTTGTAAATTGTTGTTACTCCACTTATTTTAAAGTGCTAATGACACTTTAATTGATTAAATCCATATAAAGATTATTCATGTAGGCATTTATTCATTCAAATGACACAAATATAAGTAATTTTCCAATGAAATTAAAGATTTCAAACTGTTGTATAGTAACCTGTTGTATAGTATTCCATGAAGCTATCGTCATCCCGTTAACTAAATTTAAGAAGAAATCTAACTACTGGAAGAATTCATGGACGTATTTTAATTCAGTCTTAGAAGGAAATAAAAATAATTGCCAAAGTCGTGAAAATGAAGAAAAAATTCAGATCAAACAAATCAAAAAGCAACACAATTGGGCTAAATAAATAATTACCACTTAGCATTTCGACAAAGTAATCTAACATTATACGTTTTTTAGAAAAAAGCATTTTATTTGGAAATATTTCAACATGTTATATACATGCTGTTCAATAAGTTTCATATGACAATATCTGATGGTAACTGACACACGAGTAGGAATAGAATAACTTAGAAGGCTAAGCCTTTCGTTTCATACAAGTAACTTCGAGCCATCAAAGTTCTGCATACCCCACATTTGTCGAGGGTTTCCATTACAAATTTCCATCGTTATTCTCATCTTGTCCTCTGCCATTTCCATGCATTTTCCACTTATACCATGCTTGATGAAATGTGTCTTGAAAATAAAGTAGAAATTGTTAGCATAAAAACTCATCATTATTAAAAGTTATGTTAAGTTAAATTATTCTTAGAATGGTTGGCCGATTAAAAAAAAGACAAAAAAATCGATCTCAAGTTAAAAATTTTAGAACTCGGATTTTTGGAATCAATAAACTTACGATGTTCATTTTTTTTCAAAATTATTATCAATTTAAAACCTTAGATATCAATGAACTACTAAAGATGATTTTTTCAACTGTGCAAAATATGTATTTTTGTAATTTTGAATTCTTACAAAATAGTGTTGAAAATGAGATTTTCTATAATCTAATGGAAACAAAATATTAATTTGATGATGAATTTCTGAGTTATCATCAAGGGAAGGAATAAAAAGCTATCTCCTTGTGGGGTAGCGATTAAAATTTAAAGAATCGTATGAGCTGCATGTATTGGAAGCAGTAATTTACTCAGAACTTCTAAATTTGAAAAATATTTTGAAGCAATTAAGTCTCACAAAGTGAATGTTTTGTGAATTTGTGAAGAAATAGTTTAAATACTATTCCACTATTCAAATATTTACTTTCAAAAAATAGCTGAATTTAGAATTAAATCAGCAATTATTAAATGTCGTGAGCAAGCATATTTAATTTTAATGCACAAGTTGTTCCGCCATTACTACATGCAATATAATATATTCTTTTAGAATCACTGGCAAAAATGAAGTAAAACAATTAAAATTTGGGATAACAAAAAAGTATTTAAACAAGTAAGAAACAAAAGGTATTGAACTCTTTTGTATCATTATGATGTTGGAGTACAAAATATTGAACCTGGCGAAACCTGAAGATATTTTTAAGAATCTTAATCTCCATTCAACTTTCTGTTTCTTTGGGCAATAAATTGTTTTGTTCTCTATCACCTTGCTTAGAAGAGACTCGTTCGATTGAAATATTTTCCTTATAGTGTTCCTCGCTTAAATATTAATTTACGATTTACGACACATAATGTGTTTTTACATTTTTTCTGCTAAAGATTTATATATATATATATATATAAATTTTAAAAAAATTTTTCGCTGTCTCTCCCACATCTTGCAATAAAGACATTGCGTCTCATAGAACTCCCTGGATGTCTTTACTGATAAAGTGATAAAAAATAATCAAACATCCTTAAAGAAGGATCTAAATATTGCCAACCTTAAATTATTCTACATCTTATATGAACTTAGTGAACTGTACGAAAAATCTTTAAGAATATAACTTGACTATAAATTTTACAGAAATGGATTTTATTAATCATCCCTCAATTTAGTACTTCAGATATTCTCCAGCGTCTACTGTGTATCCACGAAGAGCATTGGGATAGTTTTTGTCGATAATTATTACGAAAAGAAATGCAATTTCTATTTAAGAATTACTTTAATGATAAAATAAAAATCATTCCTTACATCCGGGTCATAGATCCACATCTGGTTCCCCATGCCACCATGGCATAGATACATAATGAGGTCTTGCCCTGCAAAATCTATGCACGCAATGTCTCTTCTTATTTCTCCAAATTGGGTATACATAAAATACTGCAATAAAAAATATATGAATATGTGTTATATTAGAATACTTTAGTGCATTATAAATTATTTACGTAATCAAATTAATATACAGATTTCAGTAAATTAAATAATGAATTAAGCGACAGAAGGAAATGAATATGTATTAAATAATATTTAAAAATCAGATTCATAAAATTCAAAAATCAGATTCATAATCTGGACATTAACATTACCTGATTGCCTCCTTCAAGATGACATGACCACATACCAACTGGTTTACCTAAATCCTCTCCTTTCGCTTGACTATCCATGCAAGAATCTGCACCAGCTCCGAGATTCCTTATCTAATTTATAAATAATTAATATTTTAGAATATTGTTTTTAAATATTTGTATAAATAACTGTTTTTTGTTCTAAATAACTAATTGTCAATAAAAAAATTTAAGCGCTCTTATCGAACCGAAATATATGATTAAACAAATTTACAAGGAGAAAATTAACAACTTTTCCAATTTTTAAATCTTGTGAAACCAATGATAACTAAACTAAACTCAGTGGCACTACTACCAACGAAGGGCAGTATGTTCATTCCTGATTGTCCTTGGGCTCTGAAGTGCATGACCAAATGCTCCGGTTAGGAGGTCAGCCGAACGGGAAAACCCCAGTGTTTAGCCTTCAAACATTATCGGTACTCATCATGCAAGAAGTTCTGCTTACTAATTTGTGCAAAAATTTGAAGAAAAAAATTTTTTTTTGCTTTTTCTGCCATAACGAAAAAATTAAGAAAGAAATTATCTTGTTAAGGTCATCATCAAAATGTCATCTTCATTGAAAATAGTAGTAAGGTCCTAGCTTCATTATAGGTACATTAAAAGACTGGGATAGCCTGGTTCGTAGGGCACTAAGCCCATATCGAAGAGACCATAGGTTCGATCCCAGCCAGCTGAAGACTCCCCATGTAGTAAATGGTGACTGATGCACGTTAAATTTGTCGCGTCACGCGCTCCATGTTCCCATAACAAATTAATACCTCTGGGGGTACTGATACAGGAGCTCCTTTGTCTTCAGGATTGGGATCAAAATTACGAGGATATAGAGTTGAACATGGTAATCATAAGCCCAGAATTGGGTCGACTGTTCAACGACGGTCATAAAATAAAATTATAGGTACATTAGTAATGTGTTCTCTAACACTTTACTAACATCGCAGGGCAAAAGAACATCGAGTTGCATATATATATACTATTTTATTTCAACATCCTGTAAAAGCACTTAGCTTGTCCAGTAATTTGAGACTTTATACTCATATAGACCCTTGTAATTTGAGACTTTTACCCAAATGGTATTTTTTAACCCAAAACTAAAACCCTTTTAACCTACAAAAAATTAGGGGCAATTTTAATGATTTTATTCGAAAATCTGATTTTCACAGAAGATGCTATTTGATTAGAAAATAAAATATTTATATCTGTAATATCCATGCAGATTAGCCACCTTTAAAGGGCATTACATTTTACTATGAAAAAAAGTTGAGCACGAGGTACCCTTGCTTAAATGAAAAATGAAAGAAACATATTAGCACAATTACTCCGTAGTCTAAAAATTGTGAAACTTTAGCCTCCTTTGAGTGCTAGCAAGCTATAGATAGATCGCTTAAATGAATTATTCTTGTATTATTTATGTTCCCTTCCTTAAAAATGTCTAGAATTTGTATATAACATGATGGAGGTTCACACATTAAACCACTTTTTTGATTAAGTTATATGATACTTTTTTTCAATCTCCAGACCCAATTCATATTTTCAAATTAAAAAAATACACGTATTGATAAATCCTTTGAAAAAAGTAATTATTTCATAGCTTGACACAGTTGCATAACAAACTAAGTAGAATACTTTTATTGCATTCGTTAAATGATTCACAATGCATTTCAGTACATTAAAAAGAGATTTTTAAATTAATAAATTGTTTAGAGTTATTCTTAATAAAGAATTTGTATTTTTAACAAGTTGTTATTTTTTATTCAGATACCATAATTTGCAACTGTTGTTTTATTTTTTATCACATTCCATTGCTTAAATTACATTCATATTTCTTAACTTGATTTCTTTTTTTTTTTAAATATATATAATAATTAATTTTGTAGATTTTAAGAAGCTGCTTTCATAAAATTTTTTCAAATATTATGAAATCGATTAAAATACACCGAAGAGCCATTACATTATGACCACCCTGCTAATAGCATGTAGGACCACCTTTAGTCCTCAAAACTGCTAGCACCCGCCGTGGTATTGATTCCACAAGGTGCTGATAGGTAGTCTGAGGTATCTGGTACCAAGCGCTCACCAACTGGTCCTGCAACTCGCTCACATTGCGAGGGGGTAGCGTGGCAGCACGAATTTGTGTTTTCCAAGTAGGACCACAAATGCTCTATTGGATTAAGGTCAGGTGAATTTGGGGGCCAATACATGACTTGAAAGTCACTGGAATGTTCCTCGACAATTCGACCCTTATGACATGGTGCATTATCCTGTTGGCAAACACCATCCCCCGCATTAAAAACTGTTGCCATGAAGGGTGAACCTGGTCTGCAACTATGTTCAAGTAGCTTACAGACGTCAGGGATTGTTCTATGAGGATTATGGGTCTTAATGTGCCCCATGAAAACATTGTTCCTGGGCGAGAAGCCATGAAAACCTGGGCGAGCCCATTGTTATAGATGGAAGGTGGTCATAATGTAATGGCTCTTCGGTGTATAAGGTGGCACAAATGATAAAGTAATATTCTCAACCTTACCTCACCTTCAGCAACAAGATCACCAGGAATATATTGCTCGGGATAAATGTTCTTTAAATACCAGTCGAACGATTTGCAATTAAGTTTCTTCCTTAATTCTATTCTAGATGACACATCTCCGTACTTTTTCTGAAAAAAAAACCCATAACTTTCCGCATTAATAAAACTTATTTCTTTGACATAATGTTATGTTATTAATACTGTTTACATTATTTTTAATAAAAGATTTTATAATTACTGCAAAAAGAAATTTATATTTTTTAAAAACTAATTGTTAAAATGTAAAATAGCAATTTCTAAAACAAGACTTTAGGCATTTTTGTAACTTATACACGCTCTAAATAGTGGAACGTTTTTAAAGCCCTTTCATTTTTTACCAAAAGTTTCTAAAATAGGTGTATGACATTATAATTTGAGGGAAATGTTTAAAATTTTAAAATGCAAAGAGTTTCATAAATTTGTTTGTGTACCTAATAATTTGATGTTTAGGAACAACGCTTCAATTTTTAAACAAAGCATTTTTCTCTTGTTTTCCTTTTAGACTATAACGAAATATATCAACTTGTAGGATATATGCCTTCATATATTTAGTGTACTTAAAGAAATTTGTTACTTTGATTTTAAAATTGAAACATTACACGTTTAAAAAAGCGTGTTAATCTTAGTTATAATAGCTTTTAGTCCAAGATATAGTACTCTTTAAATCAACAAGATTTATTTTTTAAATAAAACAATTTGTTTAATGTAATCCATTCAATTATGAATTATTTAACACATAACAGACTAAGGTGTACTTGTAATAAATTGTGGAAAAAAACATAAATTACCTGTTGAACAACTCTGTACTGCAAAAAAAGGACAAAAGTTAAATTCAATTAAATAATTTAAAAAAATCAGAATTTAAAAAGATTTAACAAGAATATTGATTTTATATTTTTAATTTAAAATTTATGAAATATTGAAATATATGTGAAAAATTTTACTTACTGACTAATGTATTACAAAATATAAGTAAAGAGCTTAACAAGTTATTATCCCTTTATTTAAAAACTTTTTTTTTTGCTGAAAACTAGGGATAAGAATTAAATGTGTGATTTTCTAATACATAGGATTTGTTTACATGGCGTAACATTTTGAATATTAAATTGAATATTGAAACTTAAAATGTTTAAAATAAAATTTATTTCAAAATAATGTATGGTAATTTCCCATGATGTATGTTATATTTTTTTAGCGTTGTATGTTTTTAATGTTAAATGTTTGTATAAAATAGTTTTTAATATAGTGTTCGATATTACTTAATTTAAAAATAAATATATTCCTATAAAATAGAACTCAATAACAATTCATTCGTCTGTAAAACGAATTTGTTATATTGTGATACTAGTTCAAGTATGTGATACTAGTTCAAACTTTAAAAAACAAGTTTCTCCTTCAGTAGTTTAAATTTAATTTTAAAATATTTTTGGTAAAAATGCACTGAAAAAAAAGTGCAAAAATACGATAAAAATTCTCAGAACATGGCAATATATACCGTATTTCTGGCTCTATGGGAATAACAAAAAGCATGGTCATTTTTACCTAAGAGCTTTGGTAATTACTTATAGTAAAATTAACAATAGAATATGGTTTTATTACCATGATGTATTATTGTAAATGTATAAAAACGTGCTAATTTATTCAATAACTTAGTCATGGCATTAGAATCATTAAATCGGTTAAACTTCCTTTTCAATTTTGTATTTTCACAAATGCGTTGTAATAAGGACAATATAATTGGATATTAGATTTTTCGGTTAGTTGTTACCACACGAACGATAAAAAACCCCAAATAAATGCTTTAAATACAATCTATTTTAGTTTTAGAAGCAGAAAAGTGCTTTTTTTTACCAGAAATAATATTACCATATTAGTACGGTATTTCTACCAGACATTTTCTCCGTGATGTTTAATGTTTCTGAAAATATTTTGAACACAATACCTCAAGCATTATGACTGATATTTTTAAAGCCTAATTTAAAGTTTCCTTCTATTTTAGCATAATTAAAAATATCATACTGTATATTACAAAGAACTTAGCATTCAGAAACATTGTGTTTACTAATAAAATGCATTTGTAATTTTTATGAATTTATCATGTTTTCTAATGTCTTTGAAAAAGTTGAGGTTTAGAAAGTTAAAAAAACAAATTTCTTACCGCATCTACCCCTATTCTTTTATGATATAACTGCTTGTAGTCATCCAACCAGACTTCAGCTAGACGAATGCAATTAGTTCGAAACACATTTTCCCCTGGTTTCCAAACGTACGGACTTCTTGATCGAAAAACATGCCCAACATGAGAACATGGTATGATTTCTAAAGTTCCACCACACATCCATGTCTAAAAGTTACAAGAAAAAAGTATGAATAAGCCATCGATTTAAAAATTCATTGTTTACGACGTGAAAATACTTAACAACCTTTACCAGTGAAGGCCACTCTTTATCAACTATGTGTATATGATGTCTCGCTTTACGTTTCCCTTTTCAAAAAATAGTTTGTTCTCTTCAATGAACGACTTCCTGGGGAACGACCTGAGTCATATAGGCATTTGAAGGGCAGATTTGTTGGCCACTCTTACAAGGGCACCATATTAGATGTGTCAAGTTTGCTCCCACAGTAAGGACTGATAGCACAGAGAAAGAAAGAACATCCATGTCTTGCCCGGCACTCGAACCCAGAACCCGTCTGAAGCAAGACCAATTACCTGACACCTAAACAGGCTGGTCAGCTTCAGATAATAGTTAAATTACAGTTTTTTTTAAATAAAATAAAATTAATGTAATTTATGTTTGATGATTTTAAATTTTTTTAAGTTGGAAAAATTTGACGATTCAATTCAGTTCAAATACCTCCTCAATCATTTTAACTTTTTCGCTTACAAAATGGTATCCACTTTGAAAGTTTCACTAAATACGTTTCTGACTTTATTTATTGTAATAAAGTATGAAATCAAATAACATTAAATAGAGTAACAGAATTAATGATGAAAAAAACTAGAAAAGTCGGACTAGAAAATGAATATTAAATTATACCTAATATTCTTTAAGTTACAAATCATATTTGATTTTAATTGTGCAATAATACGGAGTTAAGAATTTGCATATTCTCTCACAAGTTGATTTTTCATATATTTGATTACACGATAATATTATATACCGTGGAAATAAAGTGTCAATCAATTATAATTATTTTTAAACTTCATTACGGAATGTATTAGAAGTAGTTAAGATGTTAATTAGAACCAGATTTATCAACTAACTTCCATCTGTTTATCCTTAGTTTCGTAATAATGGATGAAGATTGATAAGATGTCAATTAGAACCAGTTTAACTTCCCAAGTCCCATTTCCTGTCTCTTGGTTGAGCAATAATATGACAGAAGTTCCAAATTTCTTTTGATTAAGTCGAATATGGTATTAAGTATAACTTTATAGTCATACCAGATTAGTTTTCTTACATTTTATGTGCTATAACATAGTAACTTGGACGGAAACCGAAAAAAAAGTTAACATCTTGTGAGGAAGAAAGCAAGTTTGATCTACATAACGGTTTTGAGTGCTTAAATATTTGAATATTTTTAAAATTTCTAAACTTTGCGTAATTAAAAATAAATAAAATAAATAAATGAATAAAAAGTTATAAAAAAGAAGAATTAAATTTTTGCTTACTTTAAAAGAAAGCTCTAAGTTTTCTCCACCCCATATATCAAAACCATCGTCATATCTTCCTATTCTGTCGAAATATTCTTTACTGACGGAAAAAAGACCTCCAGCAACTGTAGGAGTCCTGAAAAATATTATTTCACTTAAAATTTAGGAATAGATTAATGCTCTTTAAATATGTAATTTACCTTTGCATATTTAAAATTCAAACGATTGCGTTTTCAGCATCTTGTATTGTGTGATTTTAAAAGCATAAATCAGTGAATCGAGCAGTTCTATGTAGTGCCTATATTGACTGAATAATAGTTATGAAATATCGGATGAATCACACAATTTTATATAGAGCCTAAGTTGCCAAAATAGGGGCTAAAAATGAAGTCTAAATTTGTCAATTCTATATAACGCATATATTGGTTGAATTGTGACTATAAAATATCGGTTGAATCGAACAATTCTATACAGGACTGATATAGGTTGACAAATGGCTTTAAAATAGCGGGGGAATCAGAACATTTGATATCGAACCTACTTTGGCTAAAATGACTATAAAAATTCGTGAGAATTCTACAATTCTTAATAGGGTCGTCATTGGTTGAATAATGGCTATAACATATCAATTGAAACAGTCAATTTTATATAGGGCTGATATTGGCTAAATAATGGCTGTAACATGTTGGGAGAATCGGACTATTCTAGGACCGACATTGGTTAAATAGTGGCAATAAAATATTAGTTTAATCGAACTAATCTATATAAGATTGATATCGGTTGAATAATGGATATGAAATATCGAGTGAATATGACTACTCCATATAGGACCGGTATTGGCTGAATCATGCTATAAAATATCTATGAATCAGACAATTCTATATTGGACCAATATCGGAAAAATAACGGCTCTTTGAACTCTTATTGAGCTGAGATTCGTGAATAATGGTCCAATGAGGGCCCAAGTTATTTTGCTGATGTGTGTACTATTGAGTATTTCCAGGAAATGTTGATTTCGTAGCAATACCGCCTCGAATGGAGATATCTTGAAAATATTCGTTTATTATATTATGCTGATTGGTTCAATTTATATTTGACAAAAGTACCAATGTAACATAAAATTGCACATTTTTTCTCTAACTGGCTCGGTTCTAGCAAGGATAGCAAGATAGTAATAACATGAAGGTTTAAAATTGATAAACATTTATTTTATTTTTTTCTCTCTCTTTAAGACGTCCTTTAATAAAGGAATATTGCTCATTAAACTATTTTATGGTAACTCACCATTTCTAACTTTAAACAATGCAGCATTTAGCAATCTCACAGGAGCAACAAATCAGCTTTTGAATACCGTGCTGTATTTAGAAAACACGATTTATAGAAAATAAGGAAAAATTGGTGAATGAAATTTTCCATTGGATGACTAAATTGATGTGAAGCAGGTAAACAAGAAAAATTAGTCATTCAAGTGCCAAATTTAGTTTATTGAGAGTCCACATACTACACACGCTATGCGCTGTTAAACTGACAAGCACTGATAAATGTGCTACTGAAAGAACTGCAGATTTTAGTTGTGGAAGATCGTTAATTGAAACTATGAATGTAATAGAAACTGTAGCAAATCTGATAAAAAAATTTTTTTTACTCAAATTCAAGCTAGTATAACTTTACGAAAAATATTTTGTCTTCAATATTCGAGAAGACAGGTGAAAATATTTATACTCAAGATTAAAAATCCAACTGCTTGTTTAATATTCTCCTAAAGAAGAAGAATTTCTTAAAGTAATTTGTATGGAATTTTAACTGCACTTATTGGTGAATAATATTATCAGCTTACTGTACTAATGCATAGAAAATAGCTTTAGTATTGCACTATTAATTTCTAAAATGACAATCTTATTTTTAAAATGTTTTGATTGCACCATTTATACAATTTATATATAAATCTCATGGCCTGTTTTACAGTTTTCTAAAAAAAATTTGCAAAAAATAGTTTTTAGAGTCATTTTAAGGACTTATATTGATATAGAATATTATTAACATATCGGATCAATACACAGAAAATAATTTTGTATTGTACAATTGATCTTCAAAATATACAATTACAATCTTATTTTAAGAATGTCATGAAGACAAATATCACTTAACGTTATTATGTAAGTTATATTAATTACTTATATTGGTGTAGAATATTATCACCTTACTGGATCCCAAGGATGCTTTCTCCGTGCAACTTCTGTGTCAGGCATAACGTGCCAATCGAATTGTAAATCCCAGTTGAATCCTCCAACTCCGAAGTCATCTGTTTCTCGAAAGTTATATTGAAAAGTACTATCATCAATAATGTCAATTACCGGAGCAACGACAGCAGTGGGACTATCATAAATCCGTTGAAGAAGGGGCTCTAACCATCCTAATAAAAGAGAAATATATATATATATCGTAATTTTATTTAGATTACATTTCATTATGGAAATCACTTTTCTTAATTAGCTAATAATTATTATTTTAAGGATGTACATCTGTAATTCTACTGATGAATTTATCTGTAATAGAATAATTTAGCAGAAAACTACTGTAAAATAATTTAGTGGAAATATGATATAAATTACACAAATATCTACTATATGGAAGACCTTTATCTTGTATTAATTGGGTGACGTTGAAAATATGAAAATAAATAGAGAAAAAAGATAAATTAAGTAACACTTTTGGCTTAATTTTATAAAAAGAATTATTATATTAATTTTATAAAAGAGGAATGCGTAAAGTCTTACCATGTGCGCACTCGCAGTGTGAGTCTAAAAAGGTCAGCACTGGTCCTTTGGCAATATTTGCACCCATTAACCGAGCTCGTATGAGGCCTTCTCTTTTGGTCGCCCTTATAAGCTTCACTTTGACCAATGGCGATAAAGCGTCCTCTAATTCTCTTTTCAAATGAGCTGTAAAGTAAATAGATGCTATTAAATGCATGCTATAAACAATGAGTTTCAGAATATAATGTAACACAGCAAAATAGCATGTAATAAAATTTGACTTTCCAGATAGAGTTTGATATCGAAAGATGCATGCGTTGCTGAATTTATTTCTTTTAAATACCCCTGAAAAATTAATTTTTATTATTTATTGCATTGTAGTGAAAAATTTAGAAAATGAATTTAAGTACTTTTAAACTGTTATATTGGTGCAAGTTAAAATTAATCACATTAATCTTTCATCTGATTAATTAATGCAAATATTAATTTTCGAGAATTTTGACCATGTTTGATTTCTGCTTTCTAGAGAAATGACTCAGTACAATACTTTAATTAGAAACAATACAAAAAAGTTGTTTATTTATATTTAAGGTAATTATTATTTATTTTCAAACACTTTATGAAAAATTTTCCTAAAAATATTATTGAAAATTATTTTTTTCTACTCGAGAAAATTGGCGTAAATTATAAACCTAATGCAAAATTTCATTTAAATATTTATAAAAATGAAATTAAAAATAACAATCAAAGGATTTCAAAACTCCCAGAAATATCAAAACGGATCATTGCAAGTAAAACATCTAAACATTGTAAATTTAGAAACAAAATTAATAAAACTTATAGTATTTGGCTAATAAATTCTCTGGTAATCATATGTAAAATATTTTTAAACATAAACTCTGTCCTTTACTCCGATAGACCTTTTCTGAAATTTTTAAAGCAAACTCTCATAAATATATTAGCAAGTCAATTTAAATATGAAAAATATGAGAAAGAATGACTTACGTAAATCAGAAAAGTCATCTACGAGAATAATTTCTTCGAGAAGATTAGAGGGTGTTCGATCGAGAATGCTGTGCACTGTTCGCATTAGAACACTCCACGCTTCGTTGTGAAAGCAAACGATGACACTTGTTCTAGGCAGATTTCGATTGTAAAGTTCATTCGCGCATCTGCAAGATACACGCATACTTCATTAATATATAATACATAATACGTACTTCATTAATATATGATATATAATAAGTAACACAGTTGTAATCAGTAGAAGAGAGCTCTACCTCCGTTAATTACTGTTAGCCAATCCCAAAGTCGACTTTATCAATATATCAAACAAGGTTTAATAATTTTTATTTTATACTATTTAATCTTACATTAAACACATCGCAGCTCAAACGGCTGCCGATATGATATCCTACGTTATTATTTTTTAATGCGAATCTTTCAATGTGAGTTTCAATTGGGGATATCAGTTAATATAGGTTCGATTAACGGTTCCTGAAGTCCATTCAGTTAAAAGAGCGTAGCATGGTTTATTGATCCTATGACTAGAACCCTGAATGATATCGGTGAAAGTTTGAACTAATATTTTCGACTTCACTAACAACCAATTACATGGCTAGCTATGTACTACTGTAAGTGCACACATTACGTACATAGCTATTACGCTATATTCATTCTTTCAACGCTATTCACCTTTTGCTCTACTTGCTGCCTAATCTCTACTTGCCTTCTACATTGTTCGAAAACTCTCCCCATACACTGGACAATACCCCTAGAGAAATTCACTGTCCTAAGCGTCGAACATAAAGAAGTATAGAAAATGTAATATAAGTTACGTTGTAACTTATTTATGTGCACAAAATACCATTGTAGTAACTTAATCTATAGATAGTCTTGTGATTGTTTTTAATCGATTGTGTCAATAGCCATCATGAGATAAGTCCTGATTAGAAACTTTCGATCACTGAGGCTATTGAAATACTCTAGACTTGATTGAACTAGAAAATGCTAGTCTTCTAGCAATTTGGCAATTAAATATCCTAAGCATCAATAATCTACTATCGAAATGGATTCAAAGTAAAAAGAAAAGAACTATTCTTGCAATTGCGTTCATTAAATTAATTGTTGAAAACGAATGGATTAAAGAAAAATTAAATAAACTTATCTTATTTCTTCCAAATATTAAGAGAATCACCTTAAAGATACGTTTGGGAATAAGTGTGTTTATTATAAACAAAATAATTACCACACCCTGCCTTTCTTAAAATTTGAATGAAAAGAAAATAAACAAGTACTTTATGCAAAATTTATAAGAATCAAATTTGAAAAAAAAAAATATCCTGTTAGTGAATTTGAAGTTTGGAAATCCTAAGCCCATTTTGGACAGAGCTTGTGTGATTTACTTTTCAAAATAGTCTTACTGTATTATCCCAAACATATTACTTTAAAAATATTTGCATCACTTAAAATTCTAAACACAACTACTATAAGCTATTATATTTAATGCATAAATACATTTCTTACAAATATATAACACATGATAATACGAATTTTCGGCCACAACAAAATTATAAATTTAATACCTGTTAAGAACCAACAATTTTTAGTTCATTAAATCTTACATTAAAATAATTTGAAAGGCTTTACTATAATTAGATAGATTTAATTCAATTACACAATTTCAATAAAATGCTCTACTTATAATGACCAGAGTAACATAGATTATTTCAAACAAAGCTGGAGTTTCTTAAAAAAATTTTTAAGGAAATATCTATAAATAATGTTTGATAGTATTAAAATAAAAAATTGCTAACGTAATCAGTAATAAATATTNCTCACATTGCGAGGGGGTAGCGTGGCAGCACGAATTTGGTTTTCCAAGTAGGACCACAAATGCTCTATTAGATTAAAGTCAGGTGAATTTAGGGGCCAAGACACGACTTGAAAGTCACTGGAACGTTCCTCGAACCAATCCATGACGATTCGACCCTTATGACATGGCGCATTATCCTGTTGGTAAACACCATCCCCCGCAGGAAAAACTGTTGTCATGAATGAGTAAACCTGGTCTGCAACTATGTTCAAGTAGCTTACAGACGTCAGGGATTGTTCTATGAGGATTATGAGTCGTAATGTGCCCCATGGAAACATCTATCTTGAACGAGAAACCATGAAAATCTGGGCGAGCAGATTGTTATAGATGAAGGGTGGTCATAATGTAACGAAAACAATCATTGTGGCCACAAATAGTTTAATGCATGAAGAAAATGACCTCCTTAGTAACTTGATTCTTAGTAACTTGATAATTTTAAATTCATTGACAATATAACTTACCCTTCTGGTCTCACATCCGGTAAATGGCGATGTAAGGAAATTTTATCACTGGCAAACTGATTAAAAGCGTGTAAATCCCATCCAGCAGCTTTGGTAGCTTCTTCCTCTCTAGTAAGATTTTCAAAAACAACTGGTATTCCATATTCCCCTGCTAAGCCGAATCCAGGTAAGTTTATCATTTGTTGGGCCATAACTTTCCAATGTGGAGCATCGATATGAAGTGGTGCAAATTCCGGTTTCTTCTCGCCACCGAACATGTCTTTTATATTTGAATATGGATCAAAATAGCTGACAACTGGAACCTCATCCTTGCTATTTCCAAAAATGAATCTGGAGAGATGCAATAGAATCATAACAGTTAACCACACCAATGCGATGCATAATACAGATTTGATAAAAAATGCTTTCCTTCTTTGGTGGCAAATCATTTCGTTATTTTAGTTGAGTTTCGATAATTTCTGGTGTTTATGGTTTTCAAAGTACTTCTGAAAAAAATTTCAGAAAATATAAATATGTCTACGTATTATAATAAACATTATAAAAAATATTAAAATTCTTTTGTTACTAAGTAAGTATCATGTTTGTTTTATATTACAAATTTTTATGCAGTGAATGTTTAGAGGAATCGTTCAATGTTAAACCAGATTATTTCCTGGAGGCATGGGGAAAAGTGATATTAACACTGCTTTCTTAAATTCAGTGCCTTTCCTTTAGCTATTCTAAAATAGTTTAAGACCGCGGTCAAAGCTTTTTACCAAGAAATGGTGTTTTTACAAAAAAAAAAAATATTATAATAGCTACAATAACAGAAATAAATTTGCTTCGTTTTGAAATTCGGCATTTTATTTGCTATTGTAAAAAAGTCTTCATAATTTGACATGCAAGATGATATTTAGAGGGTATTTTTTCTACTAATTTCACGTGTATATTCATCGATAAATTTATCTTCGAAATTGAAAAATAATTAAAAAAACTTAAAAAAAACTCTATTATTTCAGATTATTATCATACAATGGGCTATTTCTTACTTTAGTTCGATGACTTGATTACACATAATAAGGTATGGTAGTTTTTCTTTTGCAATTCCGCTTTAAAAAATAAATCGCTTGACAGAAAGACACGGATAGCTTTATTAATGTCAATAACATTGCAATATATACCTTGTACAATTAAGTTTCTTTAGCCTTTTCTTCCATCCTAGATATACCTAGATATCTAGATGTACCAAAATATCTATCTGTGAAGCCTAAATATTTTATATGAATTATAAAATAATACTATAATTGAATATTTGATAATGTGTAGTGTATATTTCAAAAGTAAAGCTTTCAACGTTAGCGCATTCGAAACAAAAATTAGATAAATTTACATCAACAACGTTTTAAGAATAATTTATCTATGCCATAAAATTTATAACAAAGAAGTTCTAAAAAAATGAAGAAGTTTACTTGAAATAAAAATTGAAATTAAGCATGAAATTTGAATCATTGATAAAACTTTAAATTAAGAACCATAAACATAATTGTATAGGTCATATTCTCTGCACATCGGAAAAAAATTAAAAGAAACGTATTTTTAATGGAGCCCACAAGGCAAAAGGAAAAGAGGGAGGCCTGAGATAACTTACCAGATGAAGGTTATAAATAAACGAAACGCAATCGATGAGACTTGGAAGGAGGCAAAACATCTCTTCATAAATAGAGTAAGATGGAAAGCATATAATGCATATGATAAGCATATGGAAATACAGCATATAAGATAGAATTAAAACAAAACTTAAATAGTAGTGAAGATTTATGCGCTTTTTTCTTGTATATGAAACATAGTATGCAAAATGTAAATTTAATGTATTATGCTAACACAAGAATATTTTATAAACAATTTTAAAAATCCAATTACTAAAATGAACAAATTGTGTTTATTCTAGGTTGTTTTACTCTGCAGGTATGTATAATTGAAGTGCGTGTAGTGATATGCCACACGTTTCATTTTAACATTAGAATTTTACAGAAAAGTGTTCCTTAATATTATTTTGAGATAGGTATTTTGCAAGATTCCGCAATTTACACTAAATAACAGCACATAACGCAGCATATATTAGCACGTACACGCTAATTCAAAGTATCTTTTTTATCAAAAACACTCTCCCGATTATTTTGAATACGTGGCTTGTCATTATATTCTCCCAAGTTCTTCAATTATTATATCATAGTGAAGCATTTTTCAGGCATGCATTTAAGACAGAACACGAAATGCACAGACACTGAAATTAGAATAAAGAAATTAAAGAAACCAAACTTACCAGATTTACTTTAATTATAATCTAAAGTTTAAAATTTAATTATAGCTTTATTTTCATTTTAATTTACTTGCCAGTGTTTCCTCATTTTTAAGAGACCAAGAGCTAGAAAGTATACGCAAAGCAAAAATTTATGACACCGGTGTTGCTGTTTCTTCATATTATTGGCAATTAATCGAACTACATATTTGTTCAGTTGGCTATATAATCTTATTAATGTTTTTAGCTCAAAATAACCTTTATAAATGGATCAGACATTAGATAGATTCAAATCATATTTTTGGTCTGTGACGTCATCTGAGCCACGTCAATGAAACCGATAAGAGTTTTCTTGGAAAAAAGGAAAATTAGCGTAATTTATTTAAAAAGTGAGAATTTTCGTACTTTTCATTTCTTTATGAAAATAAGTCATTATTTTATACTAATAAGAAACAAAGAAACAACCGACATAAAATTTAATAAGTTACTTATTTTATATATTACTTATAAAGTATACCCGAGATAGCCTTCAAAACTGTTAATCGTGCAGCAAAGTCTGAAATAATTAAATACTTTATGAAAATAAGTCATTATTTTATACTAATAAGAAACAAAGAAACAACCAACATAAAATTTAATAAGTTACTTATTTTATATATTACTTATAAAGTATATCCGAGATAGCATTCAAAGCTGTTATTCGTGCAGCAAAGTCGGAAATAATTAAATACTACTCTGTAAAAAGCTCAAGATTAAACTACGGTATAAAATACCGGCACATTGGTGCATTATCCGTAAAATTCGTCATTCATTATGAGTTAAATTCCCTTTTACCGTAAAATATTATACCGTAAATCTTACAGTAACATTTGTTTAATTATTGTTATTCAGTGATTTTACGATGATATTACTATAGAAACTACGATATATCAGAAATTTTGTCCCGTAACATGCTCAGGAAAAATAGATTTTACGGTAAACGTACCGGCATTCGAAGTGCCGGTACTTTTTATCATAATTGCATCCGGAATTTTGTTTTACAGAGTAAGTATGATAGGCAATGTTAAACGACAAGGAATGAACAATGATTATTTCATTAAATGAATAAACCCAAGGAACTGAGCAGAAAAATATAACTAATAATGCGGAATTTATTTTCCATTTTTCGGTTGGCAGCTTTGCATTTCCTCTTTTAAATCTGTTTTGTAAAAAGAAACATAACCATTAACTGAGTCTAGTGAATCTGGACAATTGGAGCCTAATTTCGAGCACTTGAAGGAAAGAACTTTTGAAGTTAAATGAAGTTTTTATGTAATGAAATGATTAGTTTATGTTCTTAATTTGGTAAAAATACTTCAAATTACGGTAAAAATCACTAATACTAAGGATACCAGAACTTAGTACAGTAAAACCCATTTCTGAGGAAGAATCAATTTTTATTGGAATATCCATTATGATAGAATCCATTTTTACTTTGAAATCACTGAATTACTACAATTAAATACACATTACTTTAAAAATTGTGGGATAAAAGATAAAGGTAAAAATAGGTTTACTGATGTTGCATCCAGGGTACCAGTACTTTTTAACGTAATTTGATATGGATGTTTTTCTTTGCAATAATTTTAAACTGAAATTTAATTCATATACTTCATAGATATCAAAATGTTAGCTAAAATCTTGTTTACTTATGTGTTTGAAAAGTAAGTACTGTTAAACAATGAATTTCACTGGTAAAATATTTATTCCCCTTTTAATTAGATTACATTGTGCACTTTTGATCTTCAAAGATAATTTATGAAAAATATTTAAGTTTCGAAATACATATGTCTACTAAAAAAATTATTTATGAACTCTTTGCTAAACAAAATAATTTTATTCAAATTCAAAATTTTATGAAGAATGATGCTTTTTAAGAACATAAAGTAAACATTTACTGAAGTTATAATCAGTTTCAGAAAATAAATAATCAGCTTCTATAGCAGATATTTCTGAATTTATCAGATTCGAAAATTCTAACTTCATTTTTAATCATTTAATATATTTAAATTTGAAGGAAATANTTACTTATTTTTTATTTCCAATGAGCTGCACAATCGGTCTTGCCGATGAGCACACCTAGTGCGTTCTCCAGAGGTGGTATCCACTCTTTCAGGACCACCACAATGGATGAGATACCGTTGGTCATGTTAATTTGGACGTCTAGTTTCTGCCACACTAGATGGCAGCACCGAGACTCTATTTGGATGTTAAAGCTCACTAGGATACCAGAACTTTGTACAGTAAAACCCAATCACTGAATCGCTACAATTAAATACACATTACTTTAAAAATTGTAGGATAAAAGATTAAGGTAAAAATGGGTTTACTGATGCTGCATCCAGGGTACCAGTACTTGTTAACGTAATTTGATATGGATTTTTTTCTGTAGAAGAATTTTAAACTGAAATTTAATTCATATACTTCATAGATATAAAAATGTTAGCTAAAATCTTGTTTACTTATGTGCTTGAAAAGCAAGTACTATTAAACAATGAATTTCACTGGAAAAATATTTATTCCCTTCTTAATTAGATTATATTGTGCACTTTTGATCTTCAAAGATAATTTATGAAAAATATTTAAGTTCCGAAATACATATGTCTACTAAAAAAATTATTTATGAACTCTTCGTTAAACAAAATAATTTTATTCAAAGTCGAGATTTTATGAAGAATGATGCTTTTTAAGAATATAAAGTAAACATTTGCTGAAGTTATAATCAGTTTCAGAAAATAAATAATCAGTTTCAATAGCAGATATTTCTGAATTTATTAGATTCGAAAATTCTAACTTTATTTTTAATTATTTGATATATTTAAATTTGAAGGAAATATCCAGGTTATTTATTTTATCAAAATATACTTTTTTCAGAAAAATAAGCAAAGGAGTTAAATCGAAGACTTTCTTTTCGGTTGCTTAAACATGTTTTAATGGAACAAACCTATAGAATTCAGTTCGTTTTTTTTTTAGAATTTTTACATTTCGTTTTTAGTATAGCGGCATTGCTAAAATACTTCTATTTTATAAAATATATTATTTTGCACAAATGAAGGTGATTTTTTAAAAAAGATTGAGACCATTGTTTGACTTCAAGTACTTTGCACAAAATAAGTAACGGACATGTTCTGTAACTCAATCACGTTCTGTAACTCAATCACGTTCTATAACTCAATTTTAATAGTTCAAGGGGGGTGAATTCAAATATTCTAATTAAGTAGCGCAGAAGATAATTTAAGTTACGAAATCAGGAACAAAAACAAGTTTTCTCGCAATCAACATACCTTTCTATCTATGGATACGGATTTCTGACCCACAAAACATAGATGGTAGCCGCAATCTTGGAAATATGGTCCCAAAAGTTTGGTAAGGCGAGCTGTCCAAAGCTGGGACCCCTTAATGCTAATTTTACTTTTTGCGCATTTCACAATATTTTTGCACAGAATTGTGAACATTCATTTATCCAAAGATCATTTCAAGCAAAAAATAACTTTTAGTACATATTTATTGCTTTTTTTTAATTTCATTTGATAATCGTCGAAACAGATTTGAATTTTAAAGGTATACTATTTCTTATATTATATTAAAGAATATAATTTTGCATAGAGGAATACAACATTTCAGTGAAATCGGTTGAATCTGAAGAAATCAAATTTTCAAAAAATTCGTATTTCGAAAATTTTATTTCTCAGAAATAAATTAAAATATATTCTTCGTAATAATGTAAAAAAATTTATACTTAACATTTCAAAAATTTTTGACTAATATTAAATAAAATAATAAATATTTATTAAAAGTTATCTTTTGAAAAAGAATTACTTTGGACAAGCAAATTTTATAATTGTATTCAAAAAGTCTAGTCTAATACGCTTAAAATTTCTCGAGACACAGCGAAATGCGCAAAAAATTCAAAATAACATTAGGGATTCAAAATTTACGGCCTCTCTTCTGACCATACTATTGAAACCGTATTTCCTATATTACGCATACAAGGACATATAGCCTAATTTGGGGATTAGAAATCCAAACCCCTCGCTAAATAGGCTTGTTGATTTGGAGAAAATCCTTTTTGTGTCCAATTTCGTAACTTAAAATATCGTCTTCACTAATGAATTAGCATATCTGAAATTTCCCCTTCGACCATTAAAATTGCGTCCTAAAACGTGAAGATCCGATCATTACACCAAAAGGTATTAAAGGTGGTCCGTTTTTTACTTTCCGCAATGTACATAATGCATTATCTAATTATCTATTTTTCATCACAAGGGATTATTAGCTTTAGAAGAATGATTCTATACAAATCAGTATAACCATTTAAATTGTTCTATTTTTGGAGATCATAACAAAAAAAAAATATAAGTCTCGCTAAAAAGAAAGATTTAATTTAAATTTACTTTTGAGTTGTTTTTATTTAATACTAATTGTTTTTATTTTTTATTTTATCAGATTGTCCGTTATTCAAATGCTAAAATGGAAAGATTTAATTTAGATTTACTTTTGAGTTGTTTTTATTTAATACTAATTGTTTTTTTTTATCAGATTTTCCGTTATTCAAATGCATAATCTGTTACATTGTCGTAAAATAAACCTTCAGTTTAAACCAGGGGTGAGCAACACGCGGACCGCGGGCCACTTGCGACCCGTTAAACATGTTTATGCGGCCCGCCAAGCATTTCTAAAATTGAATTTATTTTATCGACTTTCGCCCATCGTATTGTTATAAAATTAATTATAATAAAATGGTAGTACATTCTAAACCGAAACAATTTTTTGTGACGATTTTGGGCTTCTTATCGACATGACTCAGCATCTCAATAATCTTAATGTGGAACTTCAAGGCAAAGGACAGTTTATTCACAATTTGTATGATAAAATTCAGGGCTNTATAATAAAATGGTAGTACATACTAAACCGAAACAATTTTTTGTGACGATTTTGGGTTTCTTATCGACATGACTGAGCATCTCAATGATCTTAATGTGGAACATCAAGGCAAAGGACAGTTTATTCACGATTTGTATGATAAAATTCAGGGCTTTGAGCGCGAATTGAAATTGTGGAAACAGCATCTTTTGCAGAATAATGTGTCTCACTTTCCACATTTAGAAAAAGAAAACGTTACTACTTCTCAAAA